CTCAAGTGGTAGAGCACTAGCCTTGAGCTGAAGAGCTGAGGGACAGCGCCCAGGCCCAGAGTTCAGGCCCACGAACGGAACCAAAAAAAAAAAAAAAAGTAACAAATCGCTTAATCCTCTTAACAATGAATATTATGGAAACTATTCATCCTAAACCTCTTCTTGCCTAATTCTGAAATGTTTGGGGGCCAGGTGCAAGTGGCTTCCACCTGTAATCTTAGCTATCAGAAGGCTGAGATCTGAGGATCATGGTTTGAAGTTAGCCAGAGCAGGAAAGCCCTTGGGATTCTGATCTCCAATTAACTACCAAAAAAGCCAGAAGTGGAGTTGTGTCTAGCTTTGAGCAAAGGAAGTTCAAGGACATGCCCAGGCCCTGAGTTCAAGCCTAGGACTGGCACAAAAAATAATGTTTGGGAAACGGCCATGCTATGCCCTTGTTTCTCTTGCATTTTTTCTTTCAGAAGATGTATTTCAAATACTTTTTTTCTCTTCTCTGGCATCATGCTCTTGATTTTTGTCTTTCACAGATGCAGCTGTCTTCTCCTCGGTTCTGGCACTCTGACATGCTCTTTCCATTCAGTGTTCTGTGGCCCCAAAGTTGGCTTCACCCTGTCTACTTCCAGAATTGGACCTACAATCATCAGGGTCTAGAGATGGTGCTATTACTAGAACTGGAGTGCAGCAAAATTGTTGCAAGGATTCTAGAAGTCAGATTCCTTCTTATCCTCTTATCTTTATCTTGGATAGTGGGCCAGAATCAGAGCCTAGCATAAATATCCTGGGTTCTTAATATTTAGGAGTTCCTAGAACCCAAAACTCTTGAGTTCCTAGCTGGCTAGAAACTGAATTCCTGGCAGTGACAGAATATAACAGGTGTTCCAGACTGAGCTCAAGGCTTCCACTGCTTGAGGAATGATACCTGGAAGGACCAGCATGGAGCATCTTGGTGGCCCAAGCAAACTGTGTTGCCAACATCATTGCCAAAGGAGACTTTGCATCCTGGAAGAACCTTGCATTCATTCATTTTGAGTGCTGAGAAGCAAGCATCTGTCTTCCATCATCTTGAATTTTGTGTTATTTTTTAAATTTTGTTTAAAACCGCATGTTTTGTAAAATAAAAATATTTTTGTCTATCTCATTAGAGAACTACTGGTGTGACATCTCACTTTAGTCCTCTTCTGTTTTTGCTTTACATAACAATGAAAACACTAGAGTGGGGTTCAGATCCTTATTTAGAAATGAAGGTAAAGCAAAGTTTTGGAGTCCAAAAGTACAGATGGCATATAATTGTTTTTGTCCTGGACAAGGTTAGGTCTTTGCTGTAGTTGCCTAGAAGCCTACAGACACAGGTTGTTTGAAGACTTTACAGTATGGTTTCCTAGTTAATTGTATAAACTAAGAAACAACCAAGTGCCAATTTAAGACCCACAGCTATCATCTAAACCTGTTTGGTCCTGAGCTGAGGTGCGTCCTGGGAAATGTAGTTTCCTGTGTCTTGAGCTTTCTTGTGTCTTGAAACCTGGGCAGATTCCTGCTAGGAGCGCTTCTTTTTGAAAGGTCTAGGCCACCTGGACTGATGCACGCGTACGCCTGCCCCGCTGTCCTCACACACCTCTGGAGCTCAGTCCGGGCTTTAGGCTACCATTTGGCTGACCTCTGGTGGTCACGTGGAGCTGATCGCCACGCAAGTCTGGGTCCTTCTACCTTCGATGGGGTCCTCGCTGACAACGAGCCACTCCTGAGCTGCCTGTTCGCAAGAGAGCTCCGGGGCGGGCCCGGGGTCAGTCTGCTGGGGGGCTTGCACGGCCGTATGGGCCACCTCCGAGGCCTGCTCAGGACCCGGGTTCGGCGCGGGGAGCCGGGTCAGGCGGCCACTGGGGCACCCTGGGTCTGGGAAGCGCCGAGCGCTCGGGAGAAGCCGGGGCAGCCTGGCTCCCCGCAGCCAGGCGCTGGGGCTGGGAGCCACCGAGGCCACAGTGAGGGTCCGGCCGCCTTCCGGCGCCTGAGCCAGGACAGTGGCGGCCCTGGGAACAGAGGTGGGACGGCCGTGGGCGGCGCAGGCCCCGCTGGGGGTTGGGGATGGATGAATCCCAGCGGAAACAATGGCGGAGCCTTAGCCAGGGGGCTGGTCTGCAAGGGTAACCACTTACAGGCTGTGGGCATGCAGGAATCTTAGGGGCTGGGCTCGAATGGGCCGATTATTAAGTGCCCTCCTCGCCGGTCCTCTGGCCCGATGAGGGTCCTTGCTGGCAGCTCCCCCCACCCCAGGGCCAGTCGTTCCGTAGCCCGGTGGGAAAGTATCAGCGCTCGGAGCGCGTCTGACATGTGGTTGCTAGAACTCAGTCCCCAGTCCAGAGCCCCACTCCGCGCCCCGGGGAATCAGAGCCCTCCGGAGGGCGCTGGTTCCGAGGAGCCTCTTTGTAGCCTGGCCATGTTCTGAATGTAGAGTTCCTCTGTCTGTAGTGTCTGCGATACACTGAGGCCTTTGTAGGCTTTGGGATGGAGAAGGGGGGCAGGGCTGGGAAGGAAGGTTTAGATAGAGATTGGGGAGGGGGCTGGGGGAAAGATGGGACAGGCAAGTAAAAAAATTAAGTCGTCCCCTCATATATATATTTTATTCCCACCCAAACCAGGTGGAGCGATCCCATTCTGCTAAAGATGAAAGGCTGGGGTGGGCTGGCCCTGCTTCTAGGGGCTCTGCTGGGAACTTCCTGGGCTCGAAGGAGCCAGGATCTACATTGTGGAGGTAAAGGCCCAGAGGTGGGAGGAAGGAGGGTTTTTTTGGGAGGGAGGGGAGCCTTAGTTCCAACAAGGGCAGGGAGGGGAAATGAAGGGAAATCCCCCTTTGATCCTATTTGCCTCCCTGTTCCCACACCCCTCTTCCTTTGCCACCAGCTTGTAGGGCGCTAGTAGATGAACTAGAGTGGGAAATCGCTCAAGTGGATCCCAAGAAGACCATTCAGATGGGATCTTTCCGGATCAATCCAGATGGCAGCCAGTCAGTAGTAGAGGTAACTATTACTGTTTCCTTAAATGAAATTGTTCATCCTGATTGTGAATGAGAATTCAAGTAAGACTAAGACGAGCCTTGGGTGAATGGAAATGAAGACAGATCTTGAGAGATTGGCCTCTGTCTCATTTGGAGGAATGTATGGTACCCTGTGTACATGCTTCCTGCCTCCAAACCTTTATACTTTCTTTCTGCTATAGAAGTTAGCAGACAGGTAGCTGTGGTCATCCCCTTTCCCACATCCTGAATCCATGTACCTCATATTTCACTATAGTAATGTTGCTTATACATAGATTCCGTCTAGGATTGGAGCTATGCAAGCTTGAAGCCCTGCATTGAAGCCCTAGAACTACCCCCGCCCCCCAAAAAACTTTTTTTTTGTTAGATGTAGTGGTATGTTTCTGTAATTCTAGCCACATGAAAGCCATAACTAGAAGGTTTATAGTCTGAGGCCAGTCTGGGCAAAAAAAAAGTCATGAGCTTCTATCTGAAAAAATACTCAAGCCGGGCACTGGTGGCTCACGCCTATAATCCTAGCTACTCAGGAGGCTGAGATATGAGGATCGCAGTTTAAAGCCAGCTCAGGCAGGAAAGTCAGTGAGACTCTTATCTCCAATAAACCACTCAGAAAACCACTGTGGCTAAAGTGGTAGAGCGCTCACCTTGAGCTAAAGAGCTGTGGGACAGCGCCCAGGCCCAGAGTTCAAGCCCCACAACCGACAAAAAAAAGGGGGAGGCTGGAGGTATGTCTCAAGTGGTAGAGCCTTTGAGCACAAGGCCCTGAGTTCAAGGCTGAGGACATTTCTAGGTACCGTATGCCCGCTCAGAGGCCCATCTCACAGAACTGCTAGAGGAGGTGTGTGACCGCATGAAGGAGTATGGGGAACAGATTGACCCTTCCACCCACCGCAAGAACTATGTACGGGTTGTGAGCCGGAGTGGAGAATCCAGTGAACTGGACCTGCAGGGCATCCGAATTGACTCAGACATCAGTGGCACCCTCAAGTTTGCCGTGAGTTATGGCAGTGGATAGCTGCTTTTTGAAAATCAGTGAGGAAGTTGGAGGGTGGGAAGGTTGGAGAGCTCAGCTGAGAGCTGAGTCAATGTCCTTGTCTCCCTCTCTGGAAGTGGATAAGAAACTTCTTGCTTAAGCTAGGCACTGGTGGCTCACACAAGTAATCCTAGCTACTGAGGAGGCTGAGATCTGAGGATCATGGTTCAAAGCGAGCCCAGACAGGAGAGTCCGTGAAACTCTTAATCTCCAATAAAACCACCAGAAAACCGGAAGTGGCACTGTAGCTCAGGTGGTAGAGCGCTAGCCTTGAGCTGAAGAGCTGAGGGACAGCGCTCAGGCCCAGAGTTTAAGCCCCATGACCGACCAAAAAAAACCCAAACAAACACAAACTTCTTGCTGCCTTTGTCATTCATTTCTCCCTTGGATTGGCAGTGTGAGAGCATTGTGGAAGAATACGAGGATGAACTTATTGAATTCTTTTCTCGAGAGGCCGACAATGTTAAAGACAAACTTTGCAGTAAGCGAACAGGTAAGCTACTTCCAGTTGTTTTAGTTCTCATAGCCTTGTAGGTAGAACCTGGGATTCCCAGCACCTGTACACTCCAAATCCTCTGATAGTTAGCTTCCATTTCCCCTGGCTTAGAGATTTAGGTTAGTCCTTTCTACTTTTTTCTTGTCATCTTTCAGAATTTATGGTCCCCTGACCTGAGGTATAGGTGAGAGGGCAGTGGACAAGCAGATTTGAAAAATGGTGGTTGGTGTATGTGTCAGTTTGATTTTGACTCTTTTGTCTTTTTGGTATTGGTTCTGGGGCTTAAACTTAGGGCCTGGGTGCTATCCCTGAGCTTCTTTACTCAAGGTTAAGGCTCTCTCACTCGAGCCACAGTTTCACTTACAGCCTTAATTGGAGGAAAGGGTTTGTTGGACTTTCCTGCCCAGGAAAGCTTTGAAGCATGATCCTCAGATCCTTCTGAGTAGCTAGGATTGTAGGTGTGAACCACCAGTGCTTGGCATTGGGCTGTTTTCTTGGTAATGGCATATATCAATATGTGAGTGACATCTTCCTTCACACTGTTATGTTCTGTTTGCAGATCTATGTGACCATGCCCTGCACATATCTCATGATGAGCTATGAACTACTGGAGCAGCCCAGACCAGCTTGGTGGATCACCCTCAGGAGGGGAAGATGGTGGCATTGCCTTTTATATTATGTTTTTATGGAAATGAACTGAAAAAAAAAAAAGAAACTAAAAGTACCAACTGTGTTGTTTTTTTCATGCCCAGAATCTGTCCTTACATTAGGCCTGAAGATAGAAGAGTACAGATAAGAAAGAAAGTAGAGGGCTGGAAAGGTGGCTAGGTGGTAGAATGCTTGCCTTGCATGCATGAGGCCCTGGGTTTGATTCCTCAGCACCACATAAGCAGAAAAAAAAATGGAAGTGGCGCTGTGGCCTAAGTGGTAGAGTGCTAGCCTTGAGCTGAAGAGCTTAGGGACAGCGTTCAGGCCCAGAGTTCAGAAAAGAAAAGAAAGAAAATAGAGGGAAAGGAAAGTTTTGGGGATTGGTGCTATACAAAGTTCAAAGGAATCCATGCCTTTAATTGCTTTACTTTCTGAGATCCTGCTCTACTATAAACCATATAAACATGCATTCAGTGTGGATTCAACACTTTGGTTTTCAGGTGGCTAATTAGAGATAAGAGTCTCAGAAGCTGGGCACCAGTAGCTCATACCTGTAATCCTAGCTACTCAAAAGGCTGAGATCTGAGAATCCCAGTCCAAGTCAGCCTGGGAAGGAAAGTCTATGAAACTCTTTTATCTCCAGTTAACCACCAGAAAACTGGAAGTGGCGCTGTGGCTTAAACTGGTACAGCACTAACCTTAAGCAAAACAGCTCAGGGCTAAAGCCTAGGACCTGAGTTCAAGCCCCACAACTGATGGAGGAAAAAAGAGTCTCATGGACTTTCCTGCCCTGGCTGGCTTAGAACTGCAATCCTCAGATCGCAGCCTCTTGAGTAACTAGGATTACAGGTGTAGGTCATCAGTGACCAGCTCAATGAGACTTTTGCCTCCAACAAACAACCAAAAGGCAAGGACTAGAGCTGTGGTAGAGCTGTAGCCTTTAAAACAAAAGGTCAGGAACAACGCTCAAACCCTGAGTTCAAGTCCCAGGACCTGCATAAAAAACAAAGGGGAAAAAAAAAAAGACAGAACTCAACCTGGATGGAAATAATGGACATGCATTATTCTTTCCTCCCTGCCCTTCCAGATGCAGGGACCACCAAGGCAGAGCAAAGGCAGGAAGGATGTGACCCTCTCAGCTGAAAAGTAAGGGTTTTATCAGGTAGGGATACATAAGGTAAGGAATCATACAGAATGAAGGCCTTGCTTGCTAAGCTTTTAGATATGATGCAAAATCCAACAATAAAGACTTTGTCATCTGCATCACCAGCTATCGTCAGTCTGGACTGAGTCCACACTTTTCTGTGTAGAGATTCTGTGCCTTAGCACAGGGCAGAACATCTAAAGGGTTTTTTCCTTTGTTAAGTTCTGAAACACCTGATCTTGAGATGTTTGAGGGCTTAGAATGGAACATTTCAGTCTCAGGAATGCCTTAAGGAGAGAATATTTATATAAACATTTGAAGATTTATTTACTTACTTATTTATTATCATGGGGCTTGAACTTGACCTGGGTGCTATTCTTGAACTTTTTTGCTCAAGGCTAACGCTCTACCACTTTGAGCCAGCTCTACTTCCAGTTTTCTGGTGGTTAACTAGAGATAACTAGGCTAGCCTGAGTTACATAGCAAGACCCTGTTTAAAAAAAAAAATTCGGGGCTGGGAAGGTAGCTCAGCGGTAGAGTGCATGCCTTGCAAGCATGAGGCCCTGGGTTCGATTCGTCAGCACCACATAAACAGAAAAAGCCAGAAGTGGCGCTGTGGCTCCAGTGGTATAGCGCTAGCCTTGAGCTGAAGAGCTGAGGAACAGTGCCCAGACCCAGAGTTCAGGCCCCATGACTGGCAAAAAAAAAGGAATCTCATGGTCTTACTGCCCAGGCTGGCTTTGAACTGTGATCTTCAGGGCTGGGAAGGTGGCTCAGTGGTAGAGCGCTTGCCTTGCATGCCTGAGGCCCTG